CTCTTCAGTCACTTTACCATTGCTATAACATTGCTGTGCCTTTTCTACAGATACATTCATGGTAATTGTTCTGATGAACTTTCCTCTATGGTACATACTTTATGAATTTAAGTGCAGTACTAGATTGGCAGTTAGGTCTCATCATTTTACAGTTGAAATGGCTGAATATAACCATGATTTGTATGCTGACAGTTTTTTCTCTTGCCCTTCTTACTTGTGGAACTCTCTTCCAGCTTCTTGTTTTCCAGCCAATTTTGATCTTCAAAAATTTAAATGCAATGTCAATTGTTATCTACTGTCTGTTTGATTCATCTTCTTTTATTGTTCTCATTTCTAAATAATGTCTTCTTTTTCTTATTCTTTGACACTCAGTAACTTCTTGTGTCTTAGTGGCTTTATTGCCTTGCTTAGGATGAAATGATTAAAAAAAATAGCCCACATGCACCTGAAAATGTAAATTACTAGATTTTAGACACTGAAAAGTTCCAATTGAGAGAGGTACATTTTTTTAAAAGCTAATTGAACCTCGCTTTGCTGTAAAGATGACTATTAAATACCTGGCTAATAGGAGTTTTTCCAGAAAAATTAAAATATAGATGCAGATTTGATTGCTGCTAAAACGTAAATTTTCTTTAATAAGATTTTCAACGATTTAGACAAGTAGATATTAATTTGACTGTTCCTGAATGGGTTCGGATGATAATTCAAATATATATCTCCACAAAAATAATCTTTATAGTAATAAGAAATATTATCCAATTAAAAAAGTCCATTAACTGCTTTTTATTTTTATATATATATATATATATATATATATATATATATATATATATATATATATATATATATATATATAAAAAGATCTTTTATCTTGGCATGGTGGAGTAATGGATAACATATTGGATTGAGAAATTGGAGAACCCAAGTTCAAATTACAGACGAGTTCATTCACTTACTAATACTCTTAGGAAGTATGAATCCATCTCTTCTGAGCTGTGGGTAGATAATACAACAGACTGGGTCTTATAGCCTTGGGTGATGAACAGTCTCGGAGAAGTAGAGCTCTGAATTCAAAAATTGCACAGGGTCGTTTGGGGACCTTGAGGCATACTGTGCACCAGTTCTCAGTATTCGGCTTGTATGGTTGGTTCTGCACAAGCCTTCATCACTATAATCAAATGATGTGTGCAGCTAGTCTGACTGTTGGTTCTAAGAACTAAACTGCTTGACTCTCATACATTGGAAATGACAGGAGAGTCCAGTGTGTGTGTGTATATATATATATATATATATATATATATATGAAGATGGTCTTAAATAGACCGAAACGTCCAGACGTCGACTTTATTTTAACATTAATAATGCATATTCAGAATTTTGTTTTTTTTCTGTATTTTTCTTTCATACTGTCGGATTTATATCCATATATTTGCTTACATACTGTCTACTGAAAATATACAAACCTGAATTTACTTTATAACGTGGAAGATTTCAAGCTTGGACGAGGGAATCTATTGATCAAGTAAAGAATGGAATTTTTATCGAACTGTTTTTTAGAACTGTTCCATCGTTTTTAAAATCATTTTTGGATTTGCATTGTAACGGGAAGGACTTTCAAGCTTGTTGAAGATATAAGAACCAATTGATCACTACGTATTCCAACATCAACGGAAGAGATTTCTTTAACTTTTTATAAAAATTTTTCATTCGACTTTTTGATATTTTAATTTTTGGAAATCATCTTCGAATACGTCTTAACAACATCGCCCACGTGACGACTACGTGATCATATTTAAACAGAACGCTGATCTGTATAAAATTTCAGTTATCTGTTTGAATTAGTTGGGCTCTTATGTCCATCGTCTTTTATGTTAAATTGTTATAAGTTATAATGTTAATTATGTTTAAATGAAAATGTCCATGAAGATGGTCTTAAATAGACCGAAACGTCCGACGTCGACTTTATTTTAACATTAATAATGCATATTCAGAATTTTGTTTTTTTCTGTATTTTTCTTTCATATATATATATATATATATATATATATATAATACAGTTTTATGGTATTCTGTATTTATGAGTTAACGTGTTCAGTATCAGGAATAGAGCGTATGTAAATATAAAAGTAGACATTGAAGTCAACACAGTCAATTCATGTTAAACATGGCCTGACAATTGTGCTTAGCATGAGACAGACTGCCTCCTCTGGGTGTTAACTTCAGTATCCACTTTTATATATATATATATATATATATATATATATATATATATAAAACATGTGTAATATATATATATATATATATATATATATATATATATATATATATATATATATACATATAATATTAGCTCTATCTCTGATATTGATCACTTTCTAATAAGTACCGCACATATAATATATATATATAAATTAAACGGAGGCATTGTAAAATAGTGGATAACGGCTTGAATTGAGGAATCAGAGAGGCAAGTTCGAATTCCAGTTGAATCCATTCCATTCATTTATCTACCCTTGGGAAAGATATTAATACTCTTCTTCTCTCTCCAGCTATGGGTAAATAGCAGGATAGACTAAGTTCTATAGTCTTGGATAGCAAATGGTCTGGGAGAAGGACAACTCTGAATTCAAAACCTGTGCAAGGTTGTTTGGGGACCTTGTGGCATGTAATGTACTAGGTCTCTCTATTCAGCCCTTCAAAAAGTGTGGTTGGTTCTGCACAAAACCTTCACTACTATAATCAAATCATGTGTGCTAGTGTCTGGCTGGTGTCAGTTACTAGGGACTGAGCTGCTTGACTCTCATACATTGAATACAACAGGAGAGTCTGTCACATATATATATATATATATATATATATATATATATATATTCATACATGTTTCATTAATATAGACAAAGTGCTGTCAATTTTTTAAACATGGTTAGAACTGTAAAAAAAAGCCATATTTTAAATCAATTAATTTATTATATATATATATATATTATATATATATATATATATATATATATATATATATATATATATATATATATATATATATATATATATATATATATATATATATATATATATATATATATATATATATATATATATATATATATATATATATATATATATAATATTCAAGCCAGTACTTATCTACTATACTCTTTCTCTACATGTTGTTGAAGGCAATGTTAGTCTCATTTTGACACCACTATTACTCTATACTCCCTCTTTTTGTGGTCATGTTTGGTATACTTTGCCAAATTATGCTCTCTTATCTAATAAATGAATAATGTTTAATATTTTTGATGTCACTTCTCAAGAAAAAAGATGTATAAGCCCAGTTTCATGTTTTGGAATTATTAAAATTTTATAAATAATTTTTTAAAACAATATAAATTAGTGAGGAAGTATATATTTATATGTCAAGAATAAAAACACCATTTTGAAACACAACCTTTTTGAAGGTGTATTTGTTAAACTTTACCAATATCTGATCTTCTTGCAAGGATGTAAGAGGGACTCTAGTTTCTCCCTCATGGTTCGGGCATTTATATTACTTTCTGGTAGCCAGTTGATGTGTGTGTGTGTGTGTGTATTAAATGAATTGAGCACTATGGCTGTCTGGCATTTGTTTACATTTGTAAAAATAATATGCTAGAATTTCCATTTCCCTCTCAGGTGTAAAAACTCCAACTGATTTTTTTGCAGGCACAAAGGTCCATATTTGCCGCATATATTTTACGGTAAGTATTCAGTTAAAGTAGTCACTTGTTTATTGACGCAAGTTGTGCAAGCTCTTTAGTATTATTGCTACCACCAATAGGTAAAATGGTAGGGTAGACTGCTCTCTCTAGCCTTGGTAAGGTAACCAGTTTAGGAAAAGAATAACTATAAATTCAAAAATGTCAAGAAAGCAAATTTCCCAAGAACAGTCATGACAATTCATAGATATTAAAAGGAAGCTGTAAAGAGCCATAATTGCCTATGTCTTTTCAGGTTTTTAACTTCTTTTAAAAACAAACTTAAGGAGAATAGACTTTTATGGTAGTTTTTGACCTTAGTCCAAACTCTGAAAGTTTTTAGTATTATACATTACAGTCTTACCTAACTTGATAGTTTGTTCTTTTTTTTTTTTAATGTGTGACAGTTATTTTTGTCTTTTTTATGCTTCCAGGTTTAAACCCTAAAAAGCTTGTTCTCAGAAGAATTCTAACAACCAACAGAAACTCTTTATGAAAACTATAAAACGTTTGTTAACAGTTATGAATTCAAATCCTGGGAACAAAGTTTACCGTTGTGACTTGTGCGAAAAAACTTTCTCAAAAAACAGCAACTTGAAAAGGCACTTCAAAACCCACACAGGAGAGACTCCTTTTCACTGTGGAGTGTGTGGCAAATCATTCTCAGAAAAAGGAAACTTGAAAAAGCACATGACTATTCATACAGGAGAAACTGCCTTTTTCTGTGACATTTGTAAAAAATCTTTCACTACAAATGGTTCTTTGAAAATTCATCTGCGAACTCACACAGGAGAGACTCCATTTAACTGTCAGATATGTGACAAAGCTTTCAGCAGAAATGATGCCTTAAAAATTCACTTAAGAACACACTCAGGAGAAACTCCCTATCACTGTGAAGTGTGTGGGAAATCTTTCTCAGTAAATGGTAGCTTAAAACGACACATGAAAACACATTCTGAAACAACTCCACTTGACTGTTCTGTATGGAAAAGCTTTGTATGATATTGTTAATAAAAGGACTTTTACAGGAATGATGTTTTTTTTTTATTGTGAAGTGTGTGAAAACTTGCTCAGATACATAAGAATTCAGGGAGAAACTCCAGAGAAATTAATTACTCATGAGAAGTATATATTAAAAAATATTTATTGTATAACTGGCGACTTGATTGTTAAAAATGCTTTCTTATGGAAGTGTATCTCTGATAATATGGAAAACAAGTACTTAAAAAATAACAAAATGCATAGTTTCTTTTTTCTCATAAAACAATGAAGATTAGAAAAAAGAAAAATTATGATGTAAGTTTGGACTTTTTTGACACATTTAACTTTACCCATCTTCCCCTGCCTCGCCTTTCCTTTCCACTACCTTTCTTTGCACCTTTCCCTACATCTCTCCCATTTTTCCCCTGCCTTTCTTCTTCCCCTTTCTATTTCCAGACCTCTTTTTTTCTCTTGCCTCTCTCCAGTGCTTTCCAAATTCTTGCACATCTCTGCCTCTCTTCTCATATTTCTTTTACCTCTCCTTTCTCTGCAAATCATTCTCTTTTCTTTGCATATCCCTTCCTTTTTTGCCTCTCTCCTCACATTTCTACTGTCTCTCTTTTCTCTCCATATCCTACTCTCTTTCTTGGCATATCCCTTTCTTTCCTTGCATATCCCTTCCTCTCTCCTCATATTTCTACAGTCTTTTTTTCTCTCCATATTCTACTCTCTTTCTTGGCATATCCCTTTCTTTCCTTGCATATCCCTTCCTCTCTCCTCATATTTCCACTGTCTCTCTTTTCACTCATATTCTACTCTCTTTCTTGGCATATCCCTTTCTTTCCTTGCATATCCCTTCCTCTCTCCTCATATTTCTACTGTCTCTCTTTTCTCCCCATATCCTTCTCTCTTTCTTGGCATATCCCTTTCTTTCCTTGCATATCCCTTCCTCTCTCCTCATATTTCTACTGTCTCTCTTATCTCTCCATATCCTTCTCTCTGTTGTTGCATATCCTTTTCTTTCTTTGCAAATACCTTCCTCTCTCCCCATATCCTTCTCTCTTTCTTGGCATATCCCTTTCTTTCCTTGCATATCCCTTCCTCCCTCCTCATATTTCTACTGTCTTTCTTCTCTGTCCATATTATTCTCCCCCCCCGTATATCCCTTTCTCTCCTTTCTCTCTCTCTCCTGACTGAATGCATACTGTAAGTAATATGGTGTAATAGTGGGAAAGGATGCCTATTTTTATTTTGCCTGTTTTTCAAAGCTTAATCAACATGGCCACCTCTTAAGGATAAGGGATGCAAGTTTTGATATTTTATTTTCAATCCACATTGCTTACTTAAAATAGTGGAGATAAAAACAGAAAAAAATCATGAAACAAAAATGAGTAAAGGAGTAGCAACAATACTTCATTTAAAAACAATTCAGACAAGAATATTTTGGAATTAAATCATTGGAACAACTTTATATACATACAGTGAACTGTTACTATATAATTAAACCTTGAAAATAATAAACACTCCAACAAAGGGTACTTAAAAGCTCTTGACCTAACAAAAAAGACCTTCCCCAAATAAATCTGATATTGGGTCAGATTTTCAAGAGCGCTGCAGTCTGAGAAGTTCATATGATTGGTATGATCTGCTTGGTGTCTCATGGCACATAAGGCCTCTGATGAATCGTTCTGAATGGGTGGGATAATTAGCCCCTGTGAACAACCTCTGAACCTTTACCTTAGATGATCTTGTGTTCCTATGCTAATAAGTTCCTTCTACCCAGATTTTTGAATTCAGTTCTGAAGAACCCAGTCTGCCTTACTATTTATCCCATAATTAGTAGGTGTGAAACATATACTGTTACAGTGTGTAGATTTTGATCTAGCATGAATAAAATATTATCGAGTAATTTAAAAACAAACTTTTTACAAAAATAAAACCATCCAAGATTGTAAATTTCCTAAAAGAAGTTGGATTGTACTCAAAAATATGAGTAATTGAAAAATGGTTCAAATATATATGTATACATACCTTTTTTTTCCAAACTATCACTATGAATCTATTTCAAAAATTTTGTTGGCATTAAATGACCCACTGAGGTTTTGATATGCCATAAAAACAGGGGGAAGAAGAGATGGATTCATAATTTTGCCAAAGGTGGATTTGAACTTAGCACACTGATATCTCATTTTGAGCTGCTAAGCATTACACCACCCACACATCCTGAAAAAACACCATCAAATGACAAACATAAAATTGTTAATCCAATCAGTTAGTTACAGCCATGCGTGATACATGCTTAGACGATCATGTATCTTTTGATACATGACTGACAAGGCAGATTTTTTCCTGCAGTAGGTTGCCATTTCTTTCTGTGGTAGATCAGTTGCCATCCAAGGCTATAGAACCCGGTCTGTTCTGCTATTTACCTATAGCTGGGGGGAGAAGAAGAGAATTCATACCTTTCTCAAGGGTATTAGTATGTAAGGGAATTTCATTAAATTTTTGGAGTTCAAACTTGGCTCCCCGATTCCTTAATCCAAGCCGCTATCCATCACTGTGTCTCCTATTCTTATTAACAGTAGAAAATCTTAGAAGTCATCTTTGGAGATTGGGAATACAATCATAATTTTATAAAACAGTGTGAAAAAAAAAAAAAAGGTAGTGTTTCTTATTGTCTTGCACACTTTTTTCTTTATTTTTACATTCAGAATGCTTTAAAAATTCCATTTACAAGACAATTGTTTATAAGAAAATTCTATTCAATCAGTAGACTCATAACGATTGAAAACAATGTTTTTGTTTCAGTTTGGGTTTGACCAATTCGAAAAAAAAAAAAAACTAATTAAGACATGCGTGTCCGTCAACCTTAAACAATAATCTTTGTCAATTTTATTTTTCAGTCTTTATGATGGTCGATACTTGATCTATCTGTTACTGTTACATCTCCAGGCAACACCAGGCTCTACTACTAGTAATGAGATAAAGCGTTTTTTAACCAATCACAGTTGAACTGAATAAAATATATAAAATGAATACGATCCTCCTTTTTTTTCATTTGTAAGCTAGTCAACTTGTAATCATCTCACAAATATTAGCCTGAAAAGATCAAGTCGCTACAACTCAAGAATGCCAGCTAGTCTACAGAACACACCTTCCATTACCAATTTATGGCAAACCAGAGATAAAGCATTGAATGGTCTGCTAACATCAGCCACATCAACAAAAAAAACCTTTCCATCACATAGCATGCTGGTGGCAACTATACTCTGAGTTAAAATATCTTTGTGTGAATTTTTTATCAATCTTTCTAAAATAAACCATACAATTTAATCTTTACCATGCTTTTTTTTTTTTTTGAGGGTGCAAAAACATGAACACCTACTGTTTTAAAATTGTTATAACTTTCTTTGTATTGTGTGTATAGATTTTAATTTTTGTATACTAATAAAAGAATGGATGAGTAATATTTTTTGATGTAATGCATGCATGTTTTGACATTGAAAACAAAAAATTGAAACACAAAATAAAATAAGATTGTAGGCGGCAAGTGTTGGTCCCAATCAGTAGTAGGAATGAAATCAAAATACTTCCTCCTCCTCAATTTATAGATGACACACAAAATGCATGCTGGGATTTCTTTTGAGAAAATAAGATAGATTACTTCTTGGTATAATCAGAGTTAATTCTTTCTTGTCTTGAAGCCAGAATGCTGTAATTGCTTGTCTGAATCGATTTTCATGTGTTATCACCGTTCTTAGGTTGTGAACTTTTTGCCTTATTACTGTTACTTTGCCTTGCATATATTGTTTATTTGCTTAATATTATTTTACCCTGTTCTTTTGTTTATATTATTTATTTCAAACTGTTCATATTGTTTGTTGGGCATTTCTGCCAGTTAAATTTAACTATGGCCAATTACTCTACAGAGAAGCAAAAATCTGGAAGCGAGTTTCACAGATGAGAAAACAAACTATTAGAATTAATGGTTATATCTAAGTAGATCAATAGTAAACTGATGACACCTACTTACAAACCACGGAGGAAGGCTCATCAAAAAAAAAATTGTCATGTAAATATTTATCAAAAAGACAGAGGGTAGAGACATGTCATGGAGGTCAGAAAGTGACTGAAGATGTCATGGAGGTCAGAAAGTGACTGGAGATGTCAGGTCAGTAATAATTATATTAAAAACTGTTCTTCGGATTTTATTGAAAATGTTGAGGTATATAGCCAGAGCACCAAACCAAATATGGCAGGAATATTCAGTGCATTGACAAATGGTAGATTAACAAATGTGCAAGATGGATTCTGATGAGAAAAATCATCTGTCATGACAGTGAACCAACTTTAGTGAGGAGAAAGAAAAATAAAAGAACAGGATTTAGACAGATGTCAATTGATCTTGCATTTAAGATTTTTGAAGATAATAGGTGGCAGATGTTGGCTTCAACCAGGTTTCTTTATTTTTATTTTTTTTTTATCTTTAAATTTTATTTTATTGTATATTTTTTTATTTTTTTTCTCCGCCTACTCGTCAGTGTGTTTGCCCATAGTAACCCATTTTGTCCTAATCACCCTAACCCATTTGATGGTCTAGTTAGAAATCCCGTTTCGAAAGAAAAATCAGAAAAAAAGGGAAAATTGAATGTCTTTGGCTAGATGCAAAAGTGTCTCGTCAGTATTCTCAGGATTTAGTGGCCGACTATTCTTGCTTGATAAAATTTCTGAACTTGGAATTGTTTTCACCGTTCTTTCTCCTGTTGTTCTTGCTTTTTATTGAAAGCATTCCTCCCAAGCCCACTATTTGGTGAGGGCGGTGGATTGGCCGTTGATCCCCCCCCCCCAACGGGTCGTTGCTTGGACTTAAGGTAAGCTGCACATTCACTTGTTATCATGAGGAAGAAAGCAAACTAACACTCGCTGCCATGTATGTTGGGGCATTTATGACATACCAATAATTCCAGATATCCTTATTTTCTTCAATTTCTTTTTAGAATAGTCAATGGGACTTATACTAAGTTAAAACTTAATGTTGCGAAAGGGTAAATGCAAGTGTCAGCCAGGACTCTTTGCAAATTACCTCCCCCTCTCATCGTTCCCTCTGTTTTTGTTGTTGTTGTATATGTTATATGTAATAGGAGTACGTAGGCTTTCCTACCGCCCGGTCAACACTCCTCCCCCTTCTCTTGGAAATGAGTGTTTAGGAAGGGGTTCCCGGTACTCTCTCTCACTGGCCTCTGTATCTCCTGTTGCCTTGATCTATCCACTACCCTTCTCCTCATCCTTTCTTCTATCACTCCTATCTGATCTTGCTCCAAGTTTTCTGTAACCCCTTGCGTCTTAGTGGCTTCCCGCCTTGCTTGGGGTGAAATGCTTAAAAAAAAAAAAAAAGTAGTAGGAATGAATTCAAAATACTTCCTCCTCCTCAATTTGTAGAGGACACACAAAAATGCATGCTGGGATTTCTTTTGAGCAAATAAGATAGACTACTTCTTGGTATAATCAGAGATAATTCTTTCTTGTCTTGAAGTCAGATTGCTTCAATCGTTTGTCTGAATCCATTTTTATCCAGAAAGTTCTTTCTAGACTTGTTCTCCTGTTACTGCAGTTTTTTAGGGTCATGTTTTGATGTTGAAAACAAAAATTGAAACATGAAATAAAAAAAACAAATACATTAAAAAAAAAAACCCCAAAAAAAACTCCTAAATAAAGGCTTTGTTTGATATTGACACAGCTATTTTCGTTTCCAAAAAATCACGAAAAAAAATTAACGTGGGTTTAATCGGTGTTACACCTCATAGAGAGTCTAGAAGAATTCAATATGGCATTGGAAAATGGAAATTTAACCTTCTCCCAAAGCAGTAGTAGTAGGCGATTTCCAGCTTAAAATACCGGAAATAAGAGTTAACAAGTGTTTATTTATAGAAATCATCTCAAGGTGAGTGACAGAATGCACCTAGAGTAGCAAAGAGAGAGAATACCTGCAGGATGATAAAGGTTTAAAAAAGACGATTTATTTTCTTTAAATGTACATGAAAATCAACTCCTACACCTCTGCATACAAAAACTTTGTTGTAAAAATGTAAATAATACCATTGAACATCATAGCGGCTTCTTGAAATTTTATATCATACTTATTATAAAACCCAGGTTGTGTGTGTGTGTGTGTGTGTGTGTGTGTGTTGTACGTTTAT